GATGTTCAGACGGCACTGTGAAGTGTTTGCACACAGAACCCTCAGCAAACTCAGGCACCCTTAAAGGGCCGCTCACAGGCTGGACGAGCAGACGGTCTGTGTGCAGTTTCACAGCAGCAGGGATAATGGTAGCGGTAAGCAAGATGTTCTTCTCCTTCGTAAGCACATTCTGAAAGTAACAAATGTCAGTTCCACCATTGAACGATGGGCGTTGGACCCTCGTCCGATCACAATACTTCGATGGGTCTTCGAGGTCCTTTGTGGACACCACGATGCGGAGAGGCGCCCAGCTGTCCGACCCCGCAGCGGTGTACGCCCGCATGCCGCTCTCGCCCTTCTGCGGCACCTCCGCAACCATGGCGACAGGAAGATTGCCGCTTGCCCTCACCATTTTATCAAACCGACAGCGATGATGCGCAGAGGCGAGACACGCACCGGCACAGCACAGCAGCACCACAAAGAGCGGCAGTTTGGCATTGAGGGAACGGTGTCTCATGTTGTTCCTGTGTGTAATAGGGGCGTGGCTGCAAATAGCAACGGTTGTCTACAAAGGAGAAGAACGGTAGAGGGAGGCGGTGGTAAAGGCTCTGCATCGTTACTTCTTGTTGAGCGCTACTACAGCAACCAGTCAACTGATTGTTCATCACCGTCTCTAGATTCATACAGCAAAGGTGAACAGCAGCGGGTTCGTTTCATTGCAGAAGCGCAGTGCGGATGGTGAGCTTGCTCTTGCAGATGCCCGCAGCAGCCGCATCAGATGGTACTTTCTCTCCGCTACAATGCTGTGCGTCACAGTCCGTGTCACCGTGTTTCATCTTGTGACTTAGTACCTATATGTGACGCGGTGCTTTGGAGCACACAGACAACTGACATGGCAGTACTGCAGTGGAAACAGCACGCAAACCGGCCTCCCGTCCTGCAACAAGTCGTCGCCGGTTATTCCTTCTTCATATGTTTGTTTAGGACGGCTCTCTTTATGTTCCTGTTACGCAATGCAAACAGCACTCCCTATAATCACCTGGTTGATGATGATGATGCGCTTGTGGACCAGCAAGAGTGTTTATTTATATGTGTGACTGAGTCAGCCGTTGTGTGAGCGGTGGCGATGGTGGACTGGGACCTTGATGGCTTGACAGTGCTGTTGCCGCCAGTCTTCTCACTCACAGACACACGCACATAGGTGCACACATCGTTACGGGGCGCCGTCGTCCCTGGAGAAGATCCCACACACATGCAGCTCTGTCCTCTTTATACGTTTATGTTGGAGTGTCATCTTCTCATGGCACGTGCCCCTTTGCTCGCACCAAACACGTCCTTTCTGTGAGCGTCTTCACAGCGTCGTCATCCACAGTGAAGTGGACTGGAGTATGAAAAGAGAAGAAGAAGAATACAGACACATCTGACGAGAGTACAGCAACGAGAAAAGCGGTGATATGTGCAAAATCATGTCTTGGCCTTTGCTCATGTGCTCCATTTCTTTTCGTGACTTCTCTCTATAGTATCAAAAGGGGCGCAGCGGCGGTGACACAATCACGCTGCTTCCCTCTCCCCTCAATGCCTTGCTTTGTGTGTCTTTCTTCTCAGTGTGTGTGTGTACACATCAGATGGCATCCACATCATTCCATGACTGCGGAGAAACCCTAGTCTCTGCGGCAAAAGCCATATCACCACCAGCAGCGCTGTCACCGCATGTTTGTCCCACCACAGCACGTCTCCGTTTTGAACGGCAGCTGCCACGCGCGTATCTCACCGCCGTCCGTTCCCGTCACGAGGACATCCCTCGCGGTGGATGTCGCGGAGGCCATAACGAGGCCCTCGTGCAGCTTCACCTGCCGCACGGGCTCCGTCGTGCGCAGCGACCACTCAATGGCGGTGGCGTCGTCGGACACTGTCAAGAGTGTGTCGCCGCCAACGAACTCGAGGCCGCGCACGTAGTCCTGGTGGCCAGTGAAGGTGCGCGCGGCCTCGCCGAAGGCGCTGGTTGCAGGATCCAGGTCAACGGCAAACACGAACTCCGAGCAGGCGGCATAGAGCCAGAAGCTAGACTGACCCTGGCCAGCGCCGGCATCGGTGCACACTACAGCGATGTGGTTGACGGGGTTGTCGAACTCCTCAAAGGAGGCCACGAGGCGGTGCTCCGTCGTCGCCCGCGAGTCAGCGACAATATTCCACAGCCGCACTGCGCAGTCCTCCGAGGCGGTGAGAAGCATGCGTGGGTTCGGCGACAGTGCGAGGTCGTTTACGGTGCTTGTGGCCGCCCAGAAACGATCCACCATTGTTCCAGCAGAAGGTAAAGCAGCCGCAGGAGTGGCACCCACCACGCCCTGCTGCTGTGGTGGGTTCTCCGGGCCCAGCGAGTGGATGTACACCATGCCGTCATCACAGGCGCTTGCAAGTAACCAGCGGCCGCTGCCGCTGCTTGTGTAGTTGTTGGTGTTGTCCTCTGGTGCAGGTATGCGCAGCATCTTGTTTATTCCATCACCGAACCCACAAATCGTCCCGACTGGTGCGCGCAGCTCGCGCAGGTCCCATCGAGCAATTGTGCGATCATCCGACGCCGTGAACAGCGCATACTCATCCTCAAGCATAAACAAGGCGTGGTTCACGGGCCCCTGGTGGTGTGTCAGGCGGGCGATTTCGGGGTCTCCCCCAGCCTGGCGCAGATCCCACAGCGCCGCGGTGTCATCGCCGGACGTGGAGCAGAAGATAGAGTCGTGGTGGGGCGAGAACTGCAGGGACGTCACCACCTCCGTGTGCGCTTCCGGCACAGATAAGAGTATTGACGTCATCTGGATGCAGACGTGGAAATGAGTGAGCTTCTAGCTTAGTGTGGATGCGCGTGTGCTGTTATTTATGTGTGTGTGTGTGTTGATACACCTTATCCGCTTTCCTTGTCGGTATTTTATCTTCACCTCTTATTTGGTCGTATCCCACCGCCAATCCCCTCCCTTTTATTAACCCTGGTTAGCAGCAGCAGTAGGCGCCAAAGGAGAACAGACAGAAAAACAAAAAAAAACTAAAAGCACAGAAGTAAACAAGCAGGAAAAAAAAGAAAGCAGAGCCGCCACTCGTTAATGGACACGAGCTCCCCTGGCTTCCTGGCCCATCATAGGAAGGACTTGCACAGCCACAAAACAAATGCGCACAGACGCCACACGGGAAGGAAATCGAACAATACCAGAAGGAATGTCACTTGTCTCCCGATGCAATGCAGCCTCTTGGCACACATCCAAAGAGCATATATATATATATATACGTCTGGGCTGGTCACTTAAAAAATGCCCGAAGAAGAAACAGGCCAAAAGATGCAACAAGCAGACATACGCACTACCGCCACCCAAACAAGGACAAAAGAGAAAGGGGGTTCAGAAGTGCAGTGTGATGTCCCTCAGGTAGTTATCCTCCATCACCATTCCCGTATCTGTCTGCGCAAGCTTCTTTGTGCTGCTGTTTCCAGGTAGCGCAAAGATGTCACCACAGCCTTGCCAGTCCCTCATACTTGACATTTTCGCCCGTGCATCTGGCATGAGCGAAACCACGCCTGCTGCTGCCGAAACCGGAGCCGACAGCGGCAGCGCAGAACTGCTGGCTGCGTCCTGTAGCAGTTGCCAGTGTTGCTGTGGCAGCATTTCCTGCGTATGAAACTGACTCGGCCCCTTGGGGGCTGCCTTGCGTCGTTCGTAGTTCATTGCGTTGGCCTCGTTGTGTGCGATTGTGGTGTTATGCACCATCATCTCACCGTCGCAGTGCGACCAGTGGTAGTTGTCGCCATACCGCACGCCCACAGCGCAGTGCTGAATGAGGCACGACGTCACTGCCGCCGTGTGGAGCCCCGCCGTGTAGCCGGACTCGACACACTGCTGGCAGTGCTGCAGCACTGTGTGTGCGACCACCACCACCCGCTGGACACCACGTTCCGTCGACAGCGCAACGCCCTCATGCATGCAGGCCTCAATGATTGTGTTGTGCACCACGAGAGAGCCACCACTGATTTTGTTATTGCTTCTGCCGCCGGCCACTGCACCCGAGTCGATACCGTCGTCCTTGGTGTGTGCAATGACGCTGTCTGTCACGCGGTGTTCGCCGCCGGAGAGGTACATGGCGTCGTTGTCGTCGTCAGCGTACGCGGTGTCCCACGCGGGGAAGTGCGACCACACAGACCGCTGCGACACGAAGCCGCAGCGCAGACACTCCACACCCATCTGTGCCCACTGCACCAGAGAATCCGCGACCTGCACCACTGCGTGTGTGCCGGCGGCAATTGCGGCTCCTCGCAACTCCAACAGAAATGAGTGGCGGAGCGACAGCAATGCCCTATTCGTCAGAGTGATAGCGGCGGAGTGCGAGTGGTGCTTGCCTGTGCCAGGCACGCGCATTCCCTTCACACCGGAGCCGGTAAAGAAAGTAAAAGTCGCGTTGAGCGCGGCATCCGGTCCATCCACGTGAATGGTGCGCCAGTTGCTGCTGCTGCTCACTGAGTCCTCACCAGTTACCACAACCGGTGCTGCGGCAGTGCCGTTGAGCCGCGCACTTCCCTCCACGCGCAGGAGCGCGCCAGGCAGCAGCACGACAACGCAGCCGGCCGTTACCTCAAGTGTGGCGCCACGGCCCACCGCAAAGACACCACGAACAAAGACGGGACACTTTACGGTGCGCACGGTGGGGCCGCCCACTGATGCAGCAGTTGCGCTGCAAATCAAAGTCTGCCCTCCCTCAAGCACCTCGCCCAGTGCGGTGCCATCCGCGTCGACGAGGCCATTGGTTGCCGACGGTGATCGCGGCGGCGGCAAAACAGATGTGAGTGGTGCCAACCGCCGAACCCCAGTGCCTGGAACCACAACCTCTGTCATGCCGCCACCACCACGGATGAACAGCAGCGGGCCGTCTGCTGCATTCTCCCGCTCGTGGCGCGGGGCAAGTGAAGACATGTCATTGGTAGCCGCCGGCACCACAACGAAGCGAACAGCACTAAAGCCGCGAACGATCATCGTCTTCAGTGACGTAGCGTCGGTGGCTGCGAGCAGCGTGTTTTTTCGTGTCCATGTGAAGGATGGCGGCTTGGAGTCTTGATTCGGCCGAAGAACACGCGCAACGAATACGCCGCGCGACCCGCTTGATGATGTAGGCCACACGGGTGGCACAACAACGTGAAGGTCGGCGCCTTCAGCAGGAGCGGTCATCGCGTGCTGCATGGGGTCTGGCTTCTTGTAAAGCCACAGCCCGTACTCTGCCCCGCTGCGCGATGGGCTCGGCTCCACAAGCGGCACATCGACAAGCAGAGAGCTGCGGCCTTCCTGCTTCAGTTGTGCAGCGATGCCGCCAAGCTGTCCCGGCCCCATCAGCACCTCAGTTGGAACGTCCACACGCGCGCAGTACATGCCTGGCGCGGGCAGAATGTACGTCTCCCCCTCCCACTCACCCTGATCCTGCTCTTGTTGCTGCTGCTGTCGTTGTATAGGCTGGCCCAGAGCCGACTGCACGCTCTTGACGGTATAGCCGTGTGCCACGACGACGCGGGAGCGTGCAACTTTGACCGTGTGAGAAAGGCGGCTCAGTAATTCACGGCGCGCCTCTGTGGTGCCTCCGTTCACCTGCCCCAATCCTGAGAGGTTTGCCACGCCTGCAGTGCCCACCGAAGCCGGCGCTTCTGACGACAACGCGGATGACCTGCCAATGTACGGCTCCACAGCGCGCAGTATCATTTTCCTCTGTGCCATAAAACTTTCCATAATCCACTTCACACCGGTATCTTCCTCGTACCTGTCTTTGCCATATGTTGCCAGCAGCGTCCCCGGTGCTGCGTGAAATATTGTGCCCAACTCTCTTTCAGCGAAGCCCACAGAGTGGCGGAACCGGCGTTCATCAACACGCTGCAGAAGATCCCACAAAACTTCCGTGTAGCGCGCTAGCAGCCTTGGAGTGGTGAGAATGTTGTGGTCGAGTGTTGTCTCAGCACAGAACATGAGCGGCGTAGAGAACCATAGCTTCCGGTGGCAATTGGCGAAGATAGAGTCGTAGTCCCATCCCATCAAGCCCAGATGCACTGGAAGCGGTGGTCGCAGTTGCGGCATTCCGTCGTGCGGCGATGCCGACCGCCGCAGCACCCCGTAGAAGAGCACCTCGTCATCGTAATCACTGTTCCGCAGTATTGTATTGATGGCGATCCAGGCCATGTACTGTGGCAAGTCAAAGAACTGCTTCGCCGCCTCACGTTCGTCGGCGCTGGTCATTCCTCTCATCAAACCGTAACGGAGTGGATTCTTTTCCAGGAGCCGGTAACTCGGCATGAAAGAGCTGTTCTTCTTGTAGCTCGGGACATGCGATAAATCATGGCGTGGCTCACGAAAGTTCATGAAGTTCCGTGAGCCCACCTCCACTGCACTTTCAACATTTCCGCCGTATGATTCCTTTGTGATGCGCCACATGCGCCGCCAGTGATCAATGCGTGCAACGTGCTCTGCCTTCGTCTCGTACTCACGACGAGACAATGCCGAAGCAGCAGCAGCAGCATCAGGTGGCGACCCCCCGCCCTCCTCTGCCTCCAATGCCGCGAATGCAGCCTTCATCCGCCGCCATATCGCCTGCGCAGGCGGCTCCATGGCGAGGTACACACCGAGTGTGCGTCCATGCTGCGCACCGTCGCTCACCGACGTGCCGCTGACGGACGGCGCGCACGGGTGATCCCACGCATGGCTGGGAACCGCCGGGTAGCAGCGCAGCTCCACGAGCTGTGCGTACGAAAAGAGCAGGTCAAACTGACGCAGCAGGTCCACGGAGGTGCGGTACGCTATACGGTACGTGTCCTCCCATAGCGAAAGCAGCAGAAACTCCTTTAGCGCAACGGGTGCATCGTTCACATGCGTAGCCGTGGCATCAGAGGCATTTGATGACACGAACTCAATGGGAACATCGGTGCGAATATACAATGACCGCCGTCTTGTGTGTTTCAACTTCAACGAGCTCTTCCCGTATAATGTCGCCGATACCTTGGCTGACTGCTCTGCGGTGCTTTCTTGCTGTTCACCGCCATGCATCAATGACGCCTGCACGCGCTCTACGCGCAGTTGCACCTGAAACGTGAGCCGCTCGCTAGAGGTGCGCCACGCGTGGGCCATGCTGTCGTCCATGACGAAACTGACACGTGTGAAGAAGTGGTTTGTCGGTCCCACCCGCATTGCCTCACCGGCGTTGTGTTCTTCCCTGCCCGCGCCCCATGTGCCAATGTCCATCAGCCGCGTGAATAGGAAGATGCAGACGGTGGCGAAAACTACCAGGAGAAGAGCGGCACGTGCTGTGTGGCCCGTCGCCCGCTTCCGCAGCGCACCGGAAGCCCCGCGACGTCCACGGCGGAGCTCCTGCATATGGCTTCTTTGAACAGCCTGGAACGCGCAACGTTCCTAAGTCCCCCACAGAGACAGCGATGATGAGAACGGCAAAACATACACACACGCACACACGCACACACACACACACACAGAGAGAGAGACGCAGCGGCAGCATTTTACTACCCACAAGGTGGGGTATGTATTGCGGGGCAAATGGGCATAAAATTGCCTTCTCCATAGTTTTCTCTCATTCTTCGCCTCACACACACACACTCTCTCTCTCTCTCTCACACAATCTGTGCTTTTATGTGATTCCTTCTTCACATCATCCTGATGCTTGGTGTTGTCACCGCCGCCGTCGCTGCTGTTGCTGCCTCATTGGCGGGTGGGTCGTAGTTTCCGCCGTTGTCGTTGTAGTGCTTCTGTCGTTCTGTGAGAACACATGCATGCAGACGCACGCAAAGGCTCACATATCGTCATACAACAGGGGTGGAAAACAATTCAAAAACAAGAAAAAAAATAGAAAGGACTCTGTTAAGACGTCAGCGGAGAAAACTCTCTCCGAACCCTACACCTCTGCGTCCTCCAGCATGACGAGAAACAACCCCCGCAGTTCCTCCCCACAAGCGCGCGCCCGCGTTAGGTGCACCGAAAGGCTGTTCAACTGCCGCACCACGCGCCGCCAACGATTTGTGCGGCAGTCTTCACTTGGTGGTACGTGGAACACGCCACACTCCCTGGCGTGGCGCTGGTGGCAACTGCTGGACGACGGGGAGGCACAAGCCGTGGGGAGCGGCGTATGCGCCCGAAGCGGTGTAGGTTGCAACTGCGATTTCGTATTTTGCCATGCGTGGGCAAGCTTTCTGTTCGGCGGTGTGACTACTGCTGCTGCGGGAGTGTGGACCGAGGACTCATACTGCACCGCAGCCCCGACGTCGTTCTCATCTCTGTTATTATGAAGACCCTTTTCAGCGAGGCGGTAGTCACTCCTCAGAGACAAGCAAGGCGATGGCGCCGAGGGCGGCGGCACACTCGCCGGCTGTGCCGCGTTGACGAGTTCGATCGGCGGCGGCGGCGGCTGTTGTGGCTCCTGGTGTGACGATGGTGGCGCCGTGGGGGATGCCTTGTGTGATTCGCGCAGCACCCGTGAATCCAGCAGAGGCGTTGCAGACCGAGTGGAAGCAGTAGTGGTAGTAGCGGCGTTAGCTGCAGCAGACGGGAGTGGGATTACCTTCTCACTCCCTCCTGTCGACGGTCGTGACAGCAGCAGCGGCGGTGGTGAAGAGGTTGTCTTGGGCACTGCTGCTGTCGCCTCCGCTGGTAGTTGCGTCCTTGCTGCTGCTGCAGCCCCTGCTGCGAACTGTCGCAGAGGGACAGTCCCTCCGCCCGCGCCACGTTTTTTCGTCGCTGGTTTGCGTTGCTGTTGTGGAGCTTTCTTCGCTGGCAGGCATCGCGACTTTGCCCCGCCGGCGGTGCGTCGCCGCTTGGGTGGCAATATCTCCTGCAGATCCACCAGCAGCTTCTTCACCGCTGGGGCAATCGGCAGCTGCGCCGCGTCCTCCGGCGCCGTCACGACGTCGGCGAAATTGTACACCGCTACAGCACTCGGCTGCGCAGCAGCAACACGATGCGGAGGAAACGGAGGAGAGACGGTCTGTTCCGGAAAGTCTTTTGATTCGCTGTGCGGCGCGGATTTGTGAAGCGGGGTGGTGGCGGTGGCGGCAGAGAACTGCGCCTCTCCTGCGGCCCTTGCTTCTGCTGCTGCTGCTGCACCACCCAGCACTTCGCCTGCGAGCTGCGATTCGGCGGGCGGCGATGGGGGTGACGAGACGTCCCTTCTCGCTCGCTTCGCAGGGCGACAGCCGCGCATCTCCTCATCGTCCACGACGTGCGGCGGCCGTCGACGGGGAGCAGCTTTTTGCTTCGTTCGTGTTGCGCCCACCGGAAGCGAGGCGATCGACTTGGCCACGTCGCTGCTTCCGCCACTCGCTGCAGCGCCGCGAGAGTTCGGTCGCCGCGCCACAACGCGCGCGAGGACTCCGCTCTCTTGTGTGGAGGAGCCGCGTGTCAGGTGCACGCCTGGGGAGTCGATCGCCGCGCCAAGAACCTCCAAGCACCGCGAGAGACACTCCTTTTCTTCGTCTTCTTCTTCTGCCTGCTGCTGGGGCTTCCCGGCGGGGACATCTCCTGTCTGACTACTACTGCTGCTGCTGCTGCTGCTGCTGGCAGAAGCACGTCGGTGGCTCTCCTTCCCCTCCATGGGCGACGAATCCCCATCGGACGCAGCCGTGGAGGCAGCCGATCGAGACTGCCGCGATGCACAGCCGTCTGTTACTGCAGCGTCCACGTCCCCAGCGGCATCATCATCATCATCATCATCATATGTCTTGTCTCCGGCCACTGCTTCGTCCTCTGCATCTTCTTCACCCGCTACCGCTGCTGCTGCTGGGTTCGGTGGGTAATAACTCAGCGGCAGCGGCTCTGTTGCACTCAAACGCGACGCGGAACGGGCGCGGCGGCTGGCGGCCACCATAGGCGCGACGCACTGCAGGAAGTGCGCCATGTCCTCTTCACACAGCTGCTCAATCAGCGCGCAGGGTCTGTCAGCGTCTCCTGCCGGTACATCCTCCCCTGCGTCGAGCTCAGCGGCAAAGCTGTTGGCTTCTGCCCAGCGCAGTACGATCGAGCGTGGGAGTTCGATGCGCATCAGCTGCTGCTGCCGCACCACGCGGAAGTGCAGAAGGAGGTCGTAGTCGATTCGCAGCGGCGTTGTCGTTTCACCCGCGGCGTCCTGCGCGACGAGTTCAGCGTAAGACTCATAGAAGCACAACTCACCGCGGGCGAATTCTGCCGCTGAGACGATGCAGCGGAGAAGCGGGTAGCGCGTGATGGACTGCGACACACATGCCATATTCTGTGTTTGTGTGTATGTGTGTTTTGTTGCCTTTTCTTTTGTTTGTGAGTGTGTGTAGAGACTACGCAGCTCTGTCGTGGCTAGGCGTCTTTCACAGTAATAGACAGAGGGCGGGGAGAAGCCGACTCAGACACACACACGCACACACGTGCACACTGTAGAGGAAGGAAAGGCGGTACAATACAGCGCAGTCACTAGCAAGGCGCTAACGGGTTTCCCTCGTTGTTTGCGCAGCTGGCGTTGGCAGTGGCAGGCGGAGGTGTCGCTGCGGCCATCGCTGCTGGTCGATAATGTGAAGTATGAACACACACATACGTTCTCAAAGCACAATATTGAGTAAGAAAGAAAGAGGCAGCGATGAGAAGAAGAACCCAGAGGAGGATGTTGTCTACCCCGCTCTTTCCTCTGATTTCTACACTGCTCTACCGCCGTACGTGCGGGGACGCCTCGGGTACTCTTCCTCACTCGCTTGCCACTGCTGCACAAGCAGGAGTGGAGCGTGGCGGTGGTGTTCCCGCAGCATTTCCGTGACGCCATCACTGCGGCGGCCACCAGAAGCAAGAGCAAAGGAGGACACAAGCGACAGTGCGGCTATGGCCCACATGGGAAATGACGCACGCGCCAGAGTCGTGCTGTGCAGCGCCGCATCGACAGGGAAGCCCTCCAGCCATGCACGCAGAATGACGCCTTCCATTGCAGACTCCCCGTCGGCTACTTCCACTGCTGCCGGAGAGGCGTGATGCAAGTTCGCAGCGAGTGCTGGCGGCCACAGCGGCTTGCACACCAGCGACGAGGGCACGTCCACTCGCGGGAGCCCCGACACAAAGGGCAGCAGCGTCACGCCGTCCAGNGCAGGGACGGTTGCCTGGTACGCCACGCGCAGCATCACGCTGTACACACACTGCGGCCGTGAGAGGTGTGGAGAGATGTAGCAGACCTGGTCGTTGTGCAAGTAGACGCAGCGGCCGCTTGGCAGCAGCCGAATAGCAAAGACGTCGCCGATGTTTGCGATTTGATCTCCCACCTCACGCGCCATCTGGCCGTGTTCGTAAATGCGAAAAACGAGCGGCCCCTCCTTAGTGTCGCAGTCGGCGCTGAGGTGGATCGAATATCTGAGAAATAGCCACACAGTTTCCTTCGCGACACACTGCATGGTTTCGTCCCTCGCTTGTCCCTCTCCCTCTTCTTCATCACTGGCACCATCCTCTGAGTTGTTCTCGCCGCCGCTATTCCTGTCATGGCTCAAACGGCTCCTCAGACTGCGCCTGCCATGTCGCGCGTTGAGCAGCCCGATAATGGCACGTGTGTGTGAGCCCACACGGAACCGCACACCACACCGCGAGGACTCCGGTGGGCGCACGGCAACGCACGGTTCAGAGTGCGCAAAGGCAGCCCACGCCGAGCGGTCAACGGCGTTCGAAGCAAACTCTCCTTCGTCGTCGTTGTTGTCGTCGTCGCTGCCGCAGGCGCTGATGTTGTTGTTTGCGCTTCTGTCGCTACTGCCAATACGGGAAATGGCAAGGCCGTCCAGGTGTTGGTCGCTAAGGATGCCAGACATAGTGGTGAAGGGCGGGGCGGGTGCGTGACTGATGGCACCATCGCCGTCGTTGCCGTACCGCATGTTGGCGAAGGGTGACGGGCATGTGACCACAGCTGCTGTGGTTTCACGGTTTCGGCTATTGTTGCCCCTCTTCATGGTGCTGCTGTTGTCGTCTGCGCCTTCACTGGAGTGCAGGCCGTAATCACACCGCTCCATCGATAGACGCACATTCACAGGAGGCAGTGAATGGTCCACGTAGAGTCCCTTCAGCAGGGGTGAAGGCGCCTGCTGGAGGTGCTGCCGCGAGCGCAGTGCCTCCAGCAGATGCAGTGCACTCAGCGTGCCACCCAGTGCGTCCGTGACGTCCAGCACAAGAGCGAAAGGCCGAAACGGGACAAGGCACTTCGGAGCCGCAAGAAAGCGAAGCTTCGGATAGGGCGTGCTGGGGCCGCCGCCGCCACCACTGCTTCTGCAGCTGCTGCTGCTGCTAACGAAGGGCTCTGTCTCATTGGACGATACACACGGCCGAGCGACGACCAAATCTTCCTCGCATGTGCCTCGGCTCACGGTGCGGGACTGCGCGCACCACGACGGGGGCCGCACACCTTCCCGTGCATGCAGCCAGCGTGCAGCCGCCGTTGTGTCACTCAATGGAGCAGCAGCAACAGTGACAGCAGTGTTCGTTCCCCACGTGAAGGCCGGCGCAACTGAGAGGCCGCGCGGCTCGGCTTCATCGCATCGCGGCATTCACGTGCGGACCGTTAGAACGAAAAAAAAAAACCTTCTCCTTCACCCTAAAGAGGACATAGAGGGAGACAGCCGGGAGTGCCAAAGACGACAAAAGAGACCAAGCAAGTAGGCTTCAATCTACCAGCATCAGTTCTCTTCGCAGTTCCGCAGTGCATCTACTGTGAGATGCATACACACAGTCACGAAATTGCGTACATATTTGCACAATGTCACGATTGTATACGCTACATAAACACTAAGCATTCCTCCTACACCTCCTCCTCAGTGAGGAGCAAGCAGCATCAACGTCATGGCCACTCCTCACGTCTGCTCCACCACGCACGCTTGCTCTCCCGATCCTTCGGCAAGTACTAAAGCTCCTCGTGATCATCGTTCTGCAGATCATCCAGCGGCTCGCCAGCCACAGGCGACGGCGTCTTGTGCACGCACTCCTCAATCAGAACAGGTACCTCTGGTGTCTCGGGCGGCGTGAGAT